TTGTTCGTAATTTAAATGGATATGATAAATGAATAGTTATTCATACAGTAGGCCTACATACATCAGTTTCCACTGTCAACATGATGTCATATGATGTAATATCCTTACATTGACATAGATTTCAGCATAAAATACCACAGATCATGTAATCACATGGTAATTTGTTTTAACTTTCTTAAATATAAAAGGTTAAATTCCAGATTTTGTTGTTTTTTTTGGTTAGTGTAAATGGGTTATGTAGATATTCAGACAACAGTTTGCTTTGTTACATTGATACATGATGTCATATATGATATCCATACATTGACGCAGATTTCAGCATAACATATGTGGCAAAGACAAGCCAAACCAGTCACTCGTCGCAAATTGTGTTTCAGAGAAAATAGCCAAAACATAGAATGTAAAATTTTTAAAAATCTATTTTATTTCACTAACCTAAGGTTTATATATTTATACATCATTCTGTGCTGTTATTTTTCCCAATTTCAATGTTAAAACAACAGTTTTTAATGATTTTATAATAGTTTCTGCATGAGCATAAACTTTGAAGGCTGATTTCTCATATATTGTTCTTTAAACAGCTGTATACTTAAATGCTTGTAACTTCAGAAGGAAATGTCAGATTTGAACGATTTTTTTACCATGTTATAGCTGTTATTTTACTCATTAACGCTATATTACAGTAATAACTCAAGAACGATTTTTGCGACGAGTGACTGGTTTGGCTTGTCTTTTCCACATATGCTAAATAACACGACACTTGACAGGATTTGAGAAATAACAATATGTAAACATTGTGCAATATGAAACGATAGCGTCCTTGGAACATCGCCCCCTCAGAACAGGACATGGAGTGTGTGTGTGTTGAAAATAACAGTTATTCGTGTTGGCGTAGTGTTATACGCTTCGTAGTCGGCAGCCATGTCTAAACAGGAGGCCAATGTACACTCTTATGGTGTTTATATTTATTTGCCTATTTTAAATATAATGAATAGGGTCTCACAACATTTTGAATTAAAAGCATGTAAATAATTAGGCCTGCTCTAGCTATTCACAGATCTACTGCATGGTGGGTAATTCATCAACAGAATTCAGCATTCGGATCTTCACATTGTTTTAATTCATTACATCTTGAGTATTACCATACTGAATAATAATACGGTGGTAAAGGTCATTGGGCTAATTGAATGTAGGAAAAAATGGCCATAAATGACAAGTAGGTAAAAATGGCCCCAATGAAAATATTCAGCAATAGAAATGACTTTTTTATTTAAATCCTAAAATATTTAAATACTGTAAAATAGTAAGAATTGAATCAATAAATAAAAAATGGTCCCCAATTATAAAACTCAATAAAAAAATGGCTTAAAAATAAATAAAAATACCCTGTAGCAAAAATTGAATTAATAAATCTACATAAAACATTTGCATATTTGAAAACTAAAGTAACTTAGCTTTTAGCTCCTATGAGGCGCTCTAGGAGTACCCTGCTGATTGATTAATAATTAGATATTTTTGTATGGGTGGCTGTTAATTCTAAGTATTTATTATTATTATTAGATATTATTAGCGACCAATTATTTATATTGTTATTATTGGCTCTAACAGGAAGCTCTTAAACATTGATTCGGTGCCAGTTTCCGGTGGACGTGCAGGAAATGTTATAGGCCTAGACCATTTTCGCGAAAATCGAAATGAAAATTTCCGACAACCTGGCAACTACTGTACCACTGGGCCCATTTTTACCATGGCAATTTTTACCATACACCAGCTATTCAGTCCAATTTTAGCGGAATATTCATATATATCAACTCTCAGTCGATGGCATTATTTATTTATTTATTTCAATCCGTTGGACTAATTATGTTCTGAATACTGTATTTGCAAACCCTGGGACCCGACAGGCCCAAACAAGAAAACAATTAGTTATTCCTTTCTATCTGGCACAAGCAAAGAGTAATCACAATTTTCTATAACGTAGTTTCAAGCACATGTCCATGCCGAAGTTCAAGGCATTATAATTATTTTTCAAAATTCATGGCGTGTGTTTCATCTGCAATTTTATCACGTCTAAAACAAGTTTCATAATTAACAAATTTTGAAGATTGGTTCTATACTGTATGAACCATAAATATGAACAAGTTAATAACGCTTTATAAAAATGCAGAATTTAGTACAAGGTGTATGCTTCTTATAGGATTGACCTTTGACATAGTCAAGTGCAATTAAAACTACGACGGTTATTATTCAAACCTAGTAACTAGAGCCTAAGATAATTATGATAGGCCTGAGACAACTATACAAGGAGATTGGAAACGACATGAGATTTCCTTTGTTCTTCTATCCCGGCGATTTGTTGTGTGTTGCATGCTTTTGATATGCAAATCAAGTCAACTAAACACTGTTGTTGCAGCCAAGCGAATGCTTATTGCGCATGCTCAAATCATAATCACTGCGCCATGTAAATGATAACAACTACCGAATAGGCTTGCCTGACATCGTAGCTGAACTTGTTCGCGACCGAAACGGTCCTACGCCCCTAGGCCTATAATGCCTAGGCCACACTGTAGGCCTAAACTAGGGCACAGTTTAAGGCAGTATTCAATTTATAATCATGTAATTCATAAAGATGTTTTAAAGATGAATTAATACCAAAAAAAAATGTCAATTGCACTGCATGTACTTATTCTAAACATGACTTACTAGGTACACAAAAATATACCTTTTCTGTTGTGGTAAATGATTTTATAACATATATGTGCTTATAAATGTGTGTAAACTGTACTGTACTATGATGGATTTAAAATAGTGTGTTTCTTCAATTCAGACATTCTACCGAGTGTCTTGACGAATACTACGGAAGCACCTAAGTGCCATTCGACTTGACGACTTGTCAAGATAATTATGTTGTCAAGTCG